CCCCAAAACCCCAAAACCCCAAAACCCCAAAAGACAATATTGATATTAAAGATTGATACAAGAAAAATAAAATTCAGAGCTTTGGAGACTCCTTAAGTTCAGCAAATCCTCTAAGGCAAACCAGTCCTCTCTCTTTCGTTTTAGTTTGGAAAATGATAATATTTCCATCCTTCCAAGATTCAACTACTAATGTTTCTCCCGGAAAAACGTGGCTAACAAATCTACTTGAGAATTTCACTAAACCTTAAGGATTGCCGCTCGAATACTTTTGATAAATTAGTCTAGCAGTGAATCCAAAAGAACAAAGTCCATGAAGAATAGGCTAATCAAAACCACCCATCGCTGCCATATCTTTATTGATATGCAACGGATTTATATCACCATTTAATCTGTAAAGAATAGCTTAATTAGGTTGAGTTCTGTCCTCTATAATCGCGTCAGGAGCTCTTTTTGGAATATCTGGATACTTGATATCCTTTGCTCCTCCTTTTCCTCCAAATCCACCAGCACCTCTTAGGATAAGTTTTCTTACAATCTTAGCAAGCACCTCTCCATTAGATGAGTTTTTAATTAATGCCTCCTCAGTTATTGTAGCGAGTTTTCCTTTATCAGAAATGCCAGTAATTCTTTCCTCCACTCTAAGTTTAGTATCAACAGTCATTGGTTTAATAATTTCAATATTTTCCTCTCCATACAGTAGCATCATAGGGTTAAACGCAGGCATCCCTTCGACTCCCATTAATTCTCCAGAATTTTTATGAGCAATTATTGAAGCCATTGTAATGAATGATTAGAAGTTTTCTTCATTTTCATAGGTGAAATTAAGATGATCTTTGTTTAGTGGGTCTTGGGAGAAACCAATTGACAAGGCATACAAAATGACCTCATTGTTTGTAAGTGCCACGTCATAGGGTGTATACTAATATTGTAATACTTTTTAAATATCGACTTTACTTTCCATGAATAAAATAATTATTAAACTTTAATCTCGCAAAAGCATATCTGACGGGGTTTTGGGGTTTTGGGG